CTCCTCCTCCTCCTCCTCCTCCTCCTCCTCCTCCTCCTCCTCCTCCTTCCCCCCTCCAACTCATGGTGGTGGTGGTGCCCCATCAGACTTCTCCGAATTCGGCCGCCTCCACAGAGCTCGGCGAGCACACTCCACCACGAGCTCGGTGACAGGCGTGCAAGCCGCTGGGGCGGCTCCTGTGGCTCGCGCCCCGGCGGCGGAGGCACAGGACCCTTAAAAACAGGCGCCCCGCGGAGGGACAAGTTGGGAACAAGGAAAGGCGACACCAACGCCAGCAGGGCGAGGCGGTGCGAGGAGGCAAGGGGAGCCTCCCTGGTGGTGTGGCCCCCCCCCCCCCTCTCGCTCGAGACATCCCCGGCATCCAGCTCGGGGAGGCATCGTGGACCTCCTCGCTGGAGGTGGGCCCCCTGGTGGTGTTGGTATCGCTTCTCCTCCCTCCGACAAGTGGCGCAGTGCCTCTCCAGTGACAGAAGAGGCCAAAAGAGAAGGGGAGGTGACACGGCGGACGTCGGAAACCCGGAACCCAAAACCGTTTTCATCTCTTGGGGGGCGCCCTTTTCACTTCCGCTACCTTCCGCCGCCCTTTCGCCGGCTTCCGCCGGCGGAGGCGGCCTCGTTTTACTTCCGCCGCCATTCCGCCGCCTTCCGCCGCGGAAGAGATGAAAACTAGCCTCGCAGGCAAGGCCCCTTTTCGAGCACCCCATGTGGGGAGACGGAGCAAGCGAGCAAGCGGAGGGAAGAGGATCGAGGAGGGGCGGGAGAGGAGGGGGGAGGGGCGAAGAGAGAGAGGGAGACGCGGCAGGGGAGAGGCAAGAGAGCCAAGAGTGATGAGGCAAGCTGAATACGCCTCCGCCACATCTCGCACCCTGCCCCTCCCACCCCTCCCTTCCAATTGCGCGGTTCTCTCTGTCCGCCGACGCGTGTCATGGCGGACACGGAATTCCAAGAAGACCCCATCGTGTTGTGTGCCATCGGAGGGAGGGGAGCTGCATACATTGGAGGAGGGCGTGGCGGATGAGCAAGGTTGACGAGCAGAAGGAAAAGGAGGAGGAGGAGGAGGAGGAGGAGGAGGAGGAGGAGGAGGAAGGAGAAGGACAAGGATGAGCAGCAGCAATAATTGGAGTGGAAGGAGCGGGGGGAGCAGGAGAACCAGGGGAAGGCGGAGGAGGAGAAATGAGGGGGCGACAACGATGAAAAAAAACAGATCCAGGAAAGTGGCCCGCGCTCAAATCGCCGATCCGGAAATGAGGCCCACGCTACAGCGGGAACACCATTTTGGCTTGCAAAAGACCCCCCAAAAAACGTGTTGGAATCCGGTGTAAATGAACGTACGCGGAGGGGGCTGGCTGTCTTCCAGACGGAGTCATGGGAGAGAGGAGGCTAGTATTCGTAATGTTGTGCTGCATCTTCGGGGGACCCTGCCTGCCCCATCGCGCCGCGATCCACGTGGAATCCGTGTCGGATCCGTATCGATCGCGCCGAAGCCGTGTCGAACTCGTGTCGGATCCGTGTCGAATTCCACGTCGGACCCGCGTCGAGCCATGTCGGCGTACAAGAGAAGACTGCAATGTTACAGGACGAGAGAAGTCCCCGAAGATGCAAGGTTCTGCTGCGAGCGAGGGGGGACACATGAGAAGGAGAAGGCGGCGGGACTTCTCAGAAGCCCTCCGCGGCCTCCTGAGTTTACAGAAAACTCCTCAGAAGGTGCGAGGGGGCCTCCCGAGCCTTCTGAGCAGGCCCGCCCCTTCTCACGTCCACCCCCGGGCTCGCCGCCGAGAAGCAAGGCATGTGCAGCTGTCGGGGGCGGCCGACCAAGAGGGGGGCGCCCAAGAAGGGGGGGGGAGGGGGGGGCAAGTCATGGCCGGCGGCACGTGCGCGGCCCAAGGGGGAGCCAAAAACCTGATGGAATAAGATTTGGACGCCCAAAATCGGGCACGGAGAAAATGGGTACAATGCCCAACAACAATTGTTGTCGTAAACCGACAGCGGCCGCGGTTGGGCAGGCGGCCTGTTGTCTTCCATGGGCAACGTCCGCGGCGGCGCGGACAGCGAGTCACGTTCGAAATGAGTAGGAACTGCTGTGGGGCAGTGTACCCATTCTTTCCGTACCCACTTCGTTCGTGCCGATAAGAGGGGGCGCCATAACATCTGTGGAGATATCGTGGCCCACGCCACGATGCCCAGCCACCCCTAGTCATCGCCCCCCTCTCCGCCGCCCCCGAAGCTGGAGAGAGGGGAGACATGCAGGCCAGGCGTGCCCGCACCGTCGCCCGACAGCCTCGGCCACTCCCCCGCCCGCCCCGGCCCACGGCGCGGGGGCTCCCTGCTCCGCCCACGGGCTGGAGCGTCCTCTTGGGCGCGAACTGGCGGGAGGGGAAGCATGAAGGGGGGGGAGGGGGGAGAAGGGCGCCATTGTCGGGCCCGAAAGCCCCCCCCCCCTCCTGGGCCCGAGAGGGCCCCTCGGGGGGGGCCCCTTTTCTGCAGCCCTGGCTGCCCCCCC